CCCTCCAGCTGCGCCTCTTTACCTCGTCGCACGATCAGTCGGTCCAGATCCAATTAACTTTGCAGCACCTCGAAATTGCACAAAGCTTTCCCTCTCACCGAATCTGGTCAAAGTATCGTCCATTCTACCTCTTTCTCAAACTCCTCACACCAGCGCGCTTCCATCACCCGCTTCGTCTCACTAGCTGCATCTCTCCCTGTGCTAGGCCCCAGTGACGGCCGCCCATTCGCCGCTGCTGCGATCGTTGGGAACTACGTGTTCTCTCGGTTGGCAGTCCTTGGCAGACACTGCGGGCGTATTGCCATCAGCAGCCTTAGCAAGGTCAGCGGACAACACGCGCCGTGATGCTATCTACGTCGCCGGGAAGCATCTGGATAGGGGAAGATCCGAGCGCTTCCTCCAGTTCAGTCTCGTCTCACGACACTCTTCGTGCTCAGTTGGAAGAGCGCTCGTGCCGGCTCGGCTCCTCATCGAGCTCCTCGCTTTCTTCATCTGCCTCTCCGTCTTCACCACTGTCGCCAGTCGCCCAAGGCAGCAGCGGCCCAAAGATTGGCGCGCAGCTTCTGCCAGCCTCTAGGAGACCCCGCAAGCTCGCTAGGCATTCTCGGCCGTCTAGCGCAACATCTGAAGCGTCTCAGACCTCGCTTGTGTCGCCAGACCAAGACGCCATGACATCCAGTGCCAGCAAGGAAAATGCGACCCCATCTACTAGCGGCTTGCAATTGTTCAACTTGCCTCTCTTCGTCAGCCACGAGCCTGGCGTAAGCCGGCAGGATCACCACCTCGCACCAGGTCTCGAGGAGGCATCGAAGCGGAGTCCTCCCGCCAAGGCCCAGCGAGCCAGCAGCTTGCGCGATTCTCCGCATTCATCTCACTCGCCCAAACTAGGCGGCGCCGCTCAAGTGTCTGCAGCGCGGAGTCGATCGTTGCGTGTGGCTTTGCCAACCAGTTTGAGCGCGGAGCATGCAAGCACGTTTGCTTCGCAGTACCATAGTCCAGGAAGGTCAGATAGAACCTTGCCGTACTCCATTTCGCGCGAGAGCTCGGAGGAGAGCGAGGTGTCCTCAGGTGCATACAAAGCTAGAGAACACAACAGCGACTGGTTGCAAAGCTCCAGGAGATGGTCGTCCTCCATCTCCCACTCTCGGTCTGCAAAGATGTTCAAGCAAGCTGCTTCGCCTTATCTCAGAGCAGGATTGGAAGAGTTGAAGAGCATCTTCGACGTCGACTCCGACCCTGTACCGTCCAGCCCATTTGAGGATGACGATGAAGAGGATACTGCGCACGAGAGCGACGCAGAAGATGGTAGGAGTGGGGGCACCTTTTCGGAGATTGAGAGCGGCGAAGGAGGTCGGAGAGAGGGCAGCTCAGCATCCAGCGCATCTAGAGCCAGTAATTTGAGGAGACTCCTTAGAGGGACCTCCGCGACCGAGCGTCAGGGGAGCTCCGCCAGACGAAACGGATCAAGGAGTCCCCGCTTCTCGCCAAGGGGCTTGAGCTCTCATGTGGACAGCTCAAGCATACTGCCGACTTCGATTCACTCTACTGGAGGTCAAAGTGAACTCAAGATCAGTGCAACCTCTTCGAGTCCCAGACAGCCAACCGCCCCTTTGCAACCTAAGCTTTTGCAGAGCTCCCGCCGTGAACCAGCCATACCCGCGTCCTCTCTGGGTCTCACGGCCGGCGAGGAGGAAAGTATGTCTCACAGTGCTGCCTCGCCGTATACGACCTCGTCAGAGAAGGCCAACTTGAACTCACTTCCAGGCCGAGCTGCAGCATCGGATGATGTCTTGCTAGCAATTCCTCATTCCGAGAAAAGCGCTAGGCCTTCATTGCTTGACGATCCCGATGTTCGCGGGCGCCAAGTGGCAATCGGTTTGGCCCTGATAGCCATCGGCATGGTTTCTGCTTGTGCGTTCGGGGAGCGCTTCTACAACGATACCTTCTCCGCTAGTCTCCTCATCTTCTTCTTGGTGCAACCAGCATTCGCGCTCCTGGGACTGGCGGCACTTCTGGCTCGAAGGCGAGCCGTCATGGATTTGTTCTCGAGAGCTATGCGGGCGCATGTGCTGCTCCAAGGCATCATTGCCCTGCTTGCCTTTTTGGATCTGTCAGCCTCTGCGTCTTATGTGCGAAAAGGTGCTTTTGGAGGAGCGCATTTTTGGGTCATGGAGCTCATTCCTTCCATGCAGTCGAGATTTGGCCCTTGGTCCTCCATCTGGGATGCTAGCACCGCGCCGGCCGCAGCTTTACTCTCGGAGGCAGCGCACGCCTCACAGGGCGAAGCTCAAATACACGCGCACGACACTTCCGTAGGCTCCCTTTCTTCCAGGTTTACCCATTTCATCATCTTTCTGGCCCAAGCCGCTGTTCCATTGGTCCTGGCGCTTTGGGCTCAATTCCACTTGGCAAGAGCGCTAGGGCTTTTGGCCAGATCTCCCACCCTCAGGCGAAGCGGATCCGTTCGCGGACCCAGTCGACGCACCAGCATCAAGCAAAGACCTTCTTCGCACGGGGGCAGGAGCAGAAGACAAGCGTCTCATGTTGCTGAGGATGCTACTCCTCCCGTGCCTGCGTTCGATGCTACGGAGCTTGCTTCACGCCTGCACAGAATCGATGCAGCTGCCGCATCAAAGAGCGGACGAGCTTCAAGTCTAGAATACGGGCGAGGGGCCGGCGTACCTCAGTCTCGAGTCGGTCAGCAGACCCTGATGGCATCTGCTACTTTGCCAGCTATGCCCAACGCTCGCTCTCAAAGGGTTTCCCTTTTGGCCTCTCCTGCCTTTGGGCAAGGCTTCACGTACGGGCTTGGACCAACTACTCCAGACCTGAGCCCATGCGCGTCGGCGACGACAGCCAAGGATGCTCAGCCCACTTCGCCACGCAGCCGAACCTGGTCTCACAGAAATCTTTCGCCGTTGTCTGCTTCGCCGCACGCAGTGCCGGTTGGCGCGCCCGGGGTAGCTGTGTCACCGCATCTCAAGACCGCCAAGGTTACCTACCATGATGGGGCGATGGCGCCCAGAGCTGAGGAGGTTGGTCTTTCCACCAGCCCTCCCAATATGCAAGCCATCTCTCGCACAGCACCCCACAGGAGGCGCCCAGACGAAGAGCGTCACCATCGATCCTTGTCCCAGCAAGTTGTGATCTCCGACGGGACCAAAGCTCTACTCGGCATGGCTCTAGGAGAGAGTCAGCACAGCATGGCCAATCCGTCATCAAATTCAGGCTTTGGTGTCAGCCCGTCGGATGTCGCTCTCAATGCTCATCACTCGCCCTCCAGGCACAGCGAGACCCCGCACACCTAAGTCGCCATTCCTTATTTCTTCGTTTCAAGCTTTTTGTTTCGGCCCAATGCGCTACCATCGCATCAGTATTTGTATTTCCGTCCTGCCACAGCGTACTTTGCACAGAATCCCCACAATAGTCACGCTTCCCATTCTTTCATATACGCAAACAACCATCACATCAAATCCGTTTCGCTGAAGCAATCTATTTCATGTTTCACTCGCGTAATACACATTTACGATTGTCTCCGACTGGATGAGTGCAACCAATGCGTACAGTCCATGTGCGTGTGCGTGAGGTGCACTCTCCCGCGAGGTCGACGACGCGCCGGTGAATGCTCTCTCTAGACTGGACGGACGTCGGATGCGCTCAGAGCCGGCTAGACGACGGGTCAATGGCATCCGACAAGCCCATGGAAGATGATGTCGCTGCAAGCACCAGAGACCTTGACGCCATGGGCTGGCCGGGACAGCTGCCTGCGGCGCGAAGATGCAAGAGTGCAACTCACGCCGTCTCCTATATGCTGAGCGCAGTCTCTTGGAATGAGTCTACTTACTCACGCGGCAAAGTCAAGAGCCACAGCTTGTCAAGCAGTTGTCCCATTCGAAAGACCGCGCATTCAGCATCGGACTTGAGCCGCGCGAACCTCAGAGGATCGGAGGGACGCCAACGCT